TTTTTTTTTGGTTGCAGCCATTATTGTTGTTTGGCGGGTCTGGGCTGGATTCGAACCCGCCACCTTAGGTGTATGTGGCTGGGGCCTTAGCCCCTTGAGCCACAGGCGCCGAGCCCATCCTGTCACTTTTCTCAAAGCTAAGTAGTTATATGGCTGACTGGCAAGATAGGTTATGGATCAGCTTCTGTTCTATCTTGGAATCTGTTTCAAGAGTAGGTGCAGATGCCTTGTTGGTGAAGGCTCTTTGAGCCTCCCAGGAAGAGCTGGCTCTCCTCTGGGCTCCGAGGCTCTTTGCTGCAACAGGGCTATAGCTCTGCTAGGGGCGTGGGCTGCCATACCTAACCCTGGATTGTGACCCCGTCCAGGGCAAGAGCCTTGCCTTCTTTATCTATATTACTCTCTGTGAACAGCAGTTTATAGCCCAGGAAGGGGGTTAATTTATGTGTGTGATAAATATCTATTAAACACCTGCCTGGGGCAGGGCCTGGTGAGGGCATTGGGGTTGTAGCAGAAATAGAACATGAAGGGTTTCCTGCTCTCATGGAGCTAGAATTTTGGTAAGGGATGGCTTGGGGAGAAGCAAACAAGTAATGTAATGATGCCAGAGCAAAAAAGTAAACAGGATGATGTAACTACAAAGCCTGGGGGAGCCAGGGGAGGAGGCAAAGGTGGCCAGGGGAGGAGACTACCCTGGGTAGGGAGGCTCTTCTGAAAACCGCAGCATAAAAAGGAGTGAAGACCTGGGTGCAGAGTGTTCCAGACAGAGAAGCAGCCAGGATGGAACTCTGGAGCCCGCTGCATGACTGTGGCATGTAGAGAACGGCAGGGAGGCCAGGGCAGGGAGGGCAGCAGTGGAGCTTGGCAGGGAGCAGCACGAGTCAGTCTTGTATGTGCCGCAGAGGAACTGGAGGGTTTTGAACAGAAGCCTGGTTTGATCTGACTTATATTTGAAAAGAAAGGCTGTAGGGGCAAGAATGGAAAGGTAGGCAATGAAGGCTGCAGTTGTCTGGGCCTGAGATAGCAGAGCTGAGACAGGGGTTGAGGCAGGGAGCTAGAGAGGCCTCAGGGATTAATAGGGGTGGAGCCTGCAGGACTACTGAAATTTGGCTGGGGGCAGGCAAGCTCAAGGGGTTGACATAGTTGATCAAGGAGTACCTTTCAGAGGAGGAGCTCACAGACCTGAGGAATGAGAAGGTCTGGGCACAGCCTCAGATGGGAATAAGCTTGGTATCTGCAAGTAATGCAAAAGACACCAGGGGCTGGAGCCTTGTGCATGAGGGAGAGGTTCTAGGAGGAATGGTGGGCCCTCCCACAGGAGCTTTGTAGGTCAGGAAAGAAGAGTGGATCTACAAGTGAAAGCTGTAGGAAAGGTGAAAGCAAAAGAATAAAGTCACCTGCCTTTAAAAGTCTGCTCCAGTGACTGTGGAGGAAGGACAAGAGTGCAAGTGGAGGGCCCAGAGAGGCCTGGCACTGGGCGTGTCCTGTCCCTCCAGGAAGAGTGAGGCATGGCTTTGGCTCTTAGGAAAGCCTGTTTGAGTTGATCCTTAAAGAATAGTCCTCTGACTGGATCCAGCAATCCCATTTCTGGTACAGCCCCAGAGATCGGAAAGCAGAAGCTCAAGCACTGCTCTCATACATAGCAGTGTTATTTGTAGTAGCCAGAAGGTAGACGCAAGCCAAGTGTTCATCAACGAATGAGCAGGTAAACAAAATTTTTATACAATAGCTGTTACTCAGCTGTAAAAAGAAGGAAATTCTGCAATATGTTGTAACGTGGATGAACTTAAGGCCATCATTCTAAGTGAAATAAACCAGCCACAAAAGGACAAATACTGTGTGATTCCACTCATCTGGGCTACTAGAATTGTCAAGTTCACAGAGCTACAAAGTAGAATGGTGGCTCCTGGGAGCAGGGGGATGAGGAATTAGTGTTTTAAGGGGGTGGGGCTTCAGTTGGGGAAAATGAAAAAGTTCTGGAGGTGGTTGGTGATGATGGCTGCACAACAACATGAATGTACTTACTGCTGTAAAACTATGCATGTAGAAATGACTGAGATGGTGAATTTTATGTTATATGTGATTTACCACAATTAAAAAAAAAAGAGTTGGCTCGGTGCCTGTAGCTCAGTGGTTAGGGTGCCAGCCACACACACTGGGACTGGTAGGTTTGAACCCAGCCTGCGTCTACAAAACAACAATGACAACTACAACAAAAATATAGCTAGGTGTTGTCGCAAGTGCTTATAGTCCCAGCTGTCTGGGAGGCTGAGGCAAGAGAATCATTTAAGCCCAAGAGTTTGAGATTGCTGTGAGCTGTGATGCCACAGCACTCTACCAAGGGTGACATAATGAGATTTTGTCTCAAAAAAAA